AGAACGTGCATCCGGGTAATATAAATATTAATTATTATTAATTATTATTCCAGATTATTCTCCTTTTCACAGTGCGAACAACTGAAACTGCCACCACAAATACACAGTTCATGAACATATTATTAAGTTTAGGTAGAATATGAGTCGATTTTACTTGTACAGGTAGGTAAATTCTTGTCAATTAACCAATTGTTTACATCCTGGTCAAAAATACCTTCGATGAGATCCTAACGAAAATGGATACGAGAGAAATGCACTAATGACAAGATCAAAACAAGAGCATCACTGCTAAGTGGCGCCCCCTCGACACAAGGAAAAAACACAAAAGTCTAGTCACATGTAGTAGAGTGATTTATATGCTCTGGTTAAACGGAGTTACGCGCTTACAAGTTACAGTTACATGTCGTGATCCACATGTAGTAATTATAGTTTAGATTGTTCGTGTGGGAAGTGTTGAAGCTTGTGACAAAGTTTTCAGGTAATATTCGTTTAGTAATATTGTTTCTTTACAGACTACATCAATCATCATGATCACGCTCAGCTGTTGACCTTGTCCTTGACCCCGTTCAGTACAGTAGTTCAAGTTGCCATGGAGCTGCATCATGATAATAATTTATATGATTCATATAGTATACTGTACATGCACTCACTGTTCATGTACTACCTCATAACCTCATAAATAATAATCTTTACAAGTTCAAGGGACTGTAACAAAGTCGGAGAGACAAGTTTATCAAATCGACAGATCAACACTGCGGGTCGCAGTGGAAAAAGCAGCAAATTTGCAATTTACTAATATATACTATATTACTATAGTATATAGTATAGCCGAAGGGTGAGAATTCCAATACGGAATGACAGAAACGAAGAATTAAGCTAAACTTACATTTAAAAGGATCCTTAGAAGATGGCACATGTCGGAGGTGCTGCAATGATCGGTTCAAGGATAGAGAACATGTATTCACTGTATTGACGTTTAGTCAGGGGTGTTAGGGATATTTTGGTTCACATTCTTCCAAAAGCAACAAATTTGGCCCAGATGTTGCCCATACCATACTTTTTCGATTTCTGGCGGGCGCCGGAATGGGCGCCCCCCGGGGCCGCCATATTGGCAAATTCCAATATGGCCACCACCCGGGTTGGGGGGCAATCTAGTTAAACATCCAAAAGATTATATATATTGAACAAGCTTTTCCACGCGCTGGTCTCGCAGCACGCACATTCAGCTGTCCACACGTGACAGCAGCGCGTTTCGGCCCCCTCGCACTCACCGCTTGGGTGCGGTGGCGCCCACCTGCAGGAGCAAACCGTGTCGGACTCGCGCTGCGACGAATACCACACGCTCCGTCACTGACGGCCGACGCGTCGGCGCTGGCGGAAGACGATCAAGATGACGGCGAGAGCCTTCCCGGAGACGACTCACGAACCGTGACGCCGACGCATCCTTCGCACGTCGCTCCGCGACCTCCCCGACAGGCGCGCCACCCGCTCCCCCGTGGCACGTGAAGACCGCATACGGCGACTACTGTCCACGCCACTTTACAGAAGTCGGGGGCGAACGGCCGCTGTTTTTCTGCGCTCTGTGAGAATCTCTCTTCACCGATTGTCGAGCGATCGAGCAGAATTTCGATAGCTTGCTGACAGCCCACTACAGACACGTGAGTCGTTCCCTGCCTCCGCCCGACTAGTTACTAACGTGAACGAGGGACGGATGCTGCGCGCGCACAATCCACCCGGCCCGTCTGCACCGGCGCAGCGCGACCTGGTGAGGATGGGACTCGACGCCGTTCCTCGTCGTCGGTTGAGTTAATCGCCCGCAATGTCTGTCTCTCTCTCTCTTACTCTGCCGTCTCTCTCATCGCCCTTCTCTCCTCCCGCCTCTCCCTCTCCGCTCTCTGTCTCGCTCTCTATCTCACTCTATACTTTATATCTCTGCTTTCGCCCCTCTTCCCTATGCCCTCTCCTCTCTCGTCTCTCTCCTATCCCTCTCCCTCTCGCCGCTCTCTGTCTCTCTGTTCCATATCTCCTCTCTCTTCTGGCTCCCATGTAACTTTGTTAATAATGCTCTCAGTAGCCTGGATAAGGCTCTCGTCTATATTTTTTTTCCGTCATATTTTTAGCCTCAGCTTGACGAATGTCAGATGCAGATGTAGAAATCGGCATGATGTCGTGCGTCCATGCGTCCGTGTGTCGCATGCGTCCGTTCGCGTCCGTCAACAGTGTTGGCACCAAATCTGTTAACGCTCGACTCGGTCTTGATATTCGCGACGTCGACGCAGTGCGAAATTTGGAGGTCTCGGTCAGCAGGGCAGTGGGGGAAGTTCAGATATCAGCAGATTTTCTGAGGACATGCGTCTAACGACGCCGATGAAATACTTTGTTTGTTCGCGCTGACTACCGTTTTGATCACTTTATTGAAAGGACCATGAATCTACTTTCTTGCTGACGTGTGCCGAAGAGAGTAAGATCGATAACCTTTTGACCGTCAAGAGGAGGTTAACATTGGATTTGTTGACACTGTTAACAAAGACTGAACTGCTTTGCTATTAGAGCCCCTCCACCCTCCCCCTCCCCCCATCCTCCCCCTACCCTCCCCCGGAGACACAACCACCGCACGCTCGGCCGGCTCGACGTATATCCATGATAAGGTTAATATAGCGAATGTCAATTTAAAGTTACACATGCTATATGCTTATATTACATGTACTACCGGTATAGCAAAGCCTATCAACTGGCGGTGCGGAGGGCGCACTTGATGCGGTTGCCAGTAAGTTGTTATCAGA